GCCAGCTCTTGGTGGTCAGCGTTGGTCAGATTTCGGTGGTCAGTACTGGTCAAATCTTGGTGGTCAGTGTCCTGTTGTCCTGTACTTCAGTCCTTGCTTCCATCACTAGCAGGTGTCGGCTTTTTTCAGTAAGTTGGATTTGTCTGGTTTTCTCTCGCAGATCCACGGAAGGAGATCAGTACACGGAGATATCACAGGAGTTTGCCCCATTTTTGCACACTGTATAGATTGTGTGTTTTGCAGAGACAGCCTGGAGAAATGAGGGAACATCATCAACTCTCTGTATCAGTAGATGGGAGGGAGAGGTGTGAAGTGCTAAGGGTGCTCTGTCATCTCTACCACCGGGTCCTCACTTAAACCAGATATTAGCAGAGCACTAACCAGGACCAGGAAGAGAAGACTGTAGCAGTTCTGTCTGTACATTATAAACCATGGGGCAGGGGAAGCTCAGTACTAGACATGTGCGATTCGTTTAGTTCCGAATCGAAATTCGGACGAATTTTCGGAAATTCGGACATTGGGATGTATCCGAATTCCGAATTAAAGACATAACGAATGCAAACGAATCGGAATTTCCATTTCCGAAATTCGGTAGCGTTAGTACGAACGTTCGTTTCGTTTTCTGTTCTTATTCGTATCTTATTCGTTTCTTATTCGTTTCGTTCGTTGGAGCAAAGTGACATTAGAAAAGGAGAAAAATTATTTTCCCCCTCAAATGTCCCTTTGCTGCAAACGAACGAAACGAATAAGAAACGAAAAAGAACAGAAAACGAAACGAACGTTCGTACTAACGCTACCAATTTCGTCTGAATCCGAATTCCGAATCCAAATTGACTTTCACACCCGAATCCTGAAAAACGAAATAACGCAAATCCGAATTTAAAACGAAACTAAACACATTTTTTGGCAGTGCACATGTCTACTCAGTACATGTACACAACAACTTCCCCAGCACCACCCGTCCCACAATGTCATCCTGCTTCTTTAATGCCACAAAATGATTAAACTGCTGTTTAAAAAAAAAAAAAAACCCAGCCAGGGATTAAGGGTTACATCATTGACCCAATATAGTCATGACCATATTTGGTCAGTGACATCACCCCGGATTGCCCAGCTGGTTTGTTTACAAATAGTTGTCAGCCGGGAATCTGTCATTTATAGAGGTGGAGAAGCATCGCCTTGTGGCAGATTAATTTGGTGGGGAGGCAACATTGTCCTCGGCGCGGCGGCTGATCATGCCTTTCATTGTTGAAAGACATGTTACCTGGTATGGATCAGGTAGGGGGAATGATTTCTGGCAAATATTTGCTACAAGTACATCTTTTTTTTCATTTTAATCAAATGTTGTATTAGTTTCCCTTTGATAGCAATTTGGGGTGAGTGCTGGACGGTTTTTTGAGCCCTTGTCATGTACCAAGTGAAACATACAGCAGCGTACCATAGAAGCAGCTGAATGACCATTGTATATCGGTCTTATGACTGGACATGGTGCTGTGAAGGATACTCACTCCATTGTGTTATCAGACCAGAACCACTTTGTTTCTGCAACATCTTCCATCCATGTATTCTTCTGCTGTAATCCAACCCAGAACTCTGTGTTCTGACTCTGCATGTGACACTGAAACACATCATAAAATACCAATAACTGGGACTATAATAGTTTATGATGTATAATGGAATGTACAAAGCAACCAAAAGAGAAATAAAGGACCCAAAAGGATTGCAGAGTGGGACATCTGAATAGAAATGCCAAAAAACAAAACACATCATATTAGACAATATGCAGGTAACAATCATGCTCAGAGTGAGATCTGCTGGTGGTGAGGTCGACAGTTTTATAATAGTTTTCTTACACGCTGTGAGATAATTAGTGACAGTCCGTGTATGTAAAAGTGGTGACAGAGCCGAAACCACAGAGGACTGGACCGTGTGTAGTATTAACTGAGGCAGATTTTTGGGTGCAGGTTGGTGTAATCAGGCTAAGACATGATCAGTGTTCATTGTAAATGAAGGGTGAGACCTGTGAGTAAAACTCCGCAATGAGTGAGAAGGAAGCTGCCAGAGAATACACAGCGCACAATGCAAGAGGGAAGACATCTTTGGAGAGCTTCCAGAGAGCATAGTGCAGATGGCATTGGGAGAGCTGCCAGAGGGCATAGTGCAGATGGTGGTGGGAGAGCTATCAGAGGACATAGTACAGATTGTAGTGGGAAATCTTCCAGAGAGTATAGTGCAGATGGTGGTGGGAGAGCTTCCAGAGAGCATAGTGCAGATGGTGGTGGGAGTGCTATGAGAGGGCATAGTATAGATGGTGGTGGGAGAGCTTCCAGAGAGCATAGTGCAGATGGTGGTGGGAAATCTTCCAGAGAGCATAGTGCAGATGGCATTGGGAGAGCTGTCAGAGGGCATAGTACAAATGGTGGTGGGAGAGCGTCCAGAGAGCATTGTGCAGATGGTGGTGGGAGATCTTCCAGAGAGCACAGTGCAGATGGTGGGAAAGCTTCCAGAGAGCATAGTGCAGATGGTAGTGGGAGAGCTTCCAGAGAGCATTGTGCAGATGGTAGTGGGAAATCTTCCAGAGAGCATAGTGCAGATGGTAGTGGGAGAGCTTCCAGAAAGCATAGTGCAGATGGTGGTGGGAGAGCTTCCAGAGAGCACAGTGCAGATTGCGATCGTAGAGCTTACAGAGGGCATAGTGCAGATGGTGGTGGGAGAGCTGCCAGAGAGCACAGTGCAGATGGTGGTGGGAGAGCTTCCTGAGAGCATAGTGCATATGGCATTGGGAGAGCTATCAGAAGGCATAGTACAGATGGTAGTGGGAGAGCTTCCAGAGAGCATAGTGCAGATGGCGGTGGGAGAGCTGCCAGAGGGCATAGTGCAGATGGCATTGGGAGAGCTATCAGAAGGCATAGTACAGATGGTAGTGGGGGAGCTTCCAGAGAACATAGTGCAGATGGCATTGGGAGAGCTGCCAGAGGGCATAGTGCAGATGGTAGTGGGAGAGCTGCCAGAGAGCATAGTGCAGATGGTGGTGGGAGAGCTTTCAGAGAGCATAGTGCAGATGGTGGTGGGAGAGCTTCCAGAGAGCATTGTGCAGATGGTGGTGGGAGAGCTTCCAGAGGGCATAGTGCAGATGGTGGTGGGAGAGCTATCAGAGGGCATAGTACAGATGGTGGTGGGAGAGCTTCCAGAGAGCATAGTGCAGATGGTGGTGGGAAAGCTTCCAGAGAGCATAGTGCAGATGGCATTGGGAGAGCTATCAGAGGGCATAGTGCAGATGGTAGTGGGAGAGCTTCCAGAGAGCATTGTGCAGATGGTGGTGGGAAATCTTCCAGAGAGCATAGTGCAGATGGCATTGGGAGAGCTGTCAGAGGGCATAGTACAAATGGTGGTGGGAGAGCGTCCAGAGAGCATTGTGCAGATGGTGGTGGGAGATCTTCCAGAGAGCACAGTGCAGATGGTGGGAAAGCTTCCAGAGAGCATAGTGCAGATGGTAGTGGGAGAGCTTCCAGAGAGCATAGTGCAGATGGTGGTGGGAAAGTGTCCAGAGAGCATAGTGCAGATGGCATTGGGAGAGCTTCCAGAGAGCATAGTGCAGATGGCATTCGGAGAGCTATCAGAGGGCATAGTGCAGATGGTAGTGGGAGAGCTTCCAGAGAGCATTGTGCAGATGGTAGTGGGTAATCTTCCAGAGAGCATAGTGCAGATGGTAGTGGGAGAGCTTCCAGAGAGCATAGTGCAGATGGCATTGGGAGAGCTTCCAGAGAGCATAGTGCAGATGGTGGTGGGAGAGCTTCCTGAGAGCATAGTGCAGATGGCATTGGGAGAGCTTCCAGAGAGCACAGTGCAGATTGCGATCGTAGAGCTTCCAGAGGGCATAGTGCAGATGGTTCTGGGAGAGCTGCCAGAGAGCATAGTGCAGATGGTGGTGGGAGAGCTTCCTGAGAGCATAATGCATATGGCATTGGGAGAGCTATCAGAAGGCATAGTACAGATGGTGGTGGGAGAGCTTCCAGAGAGCATAGTGCAGATGGTGGTGGGAGAGCTGCCAGAGGGCATAGTGCAGATGGCATTGGGAGAGCTATCAGAAGGCATAGTACAGATGGTGGTGGGAGAGCTTCCAGAGAGCATAGTACAGATGGTAGTGGGAGAGCTTCCAGAGAGCATAGTGCAGATGGTGGTGGGAGAGCTGCCAGAGGGCATAGTGCAGATGGCATTGGGAGAGCTATCAGAAGGCATAGTGCAGATGGTGGTGGGAGAGCTTCCAGAGAGCATAGTTCTGATGGCATTGGGAGAGCTATCAGAGGGCACAGTGCAGGTGGTTTTGAGAGAGCTGCCAGAGGACATATGAGGAAGAGTGAGAGGCTTGATTGTAAGCAGCCCATGTTTGCAATATGGGTTTCTTTTATGGAGCTTGATTGCTTGGTAGTGGCTGCACAATTACCTACAGGGATCCCCCAGAGGTCAGGAAAGGACCCTGGAGAAGTCCATCAGAAACAGAGGTGCCACCAGATAAAGAAGTGTCCAAATTAGTTTTTATTGTTAAGATTAAAAGAATCAATGTGCCAACTCATGCAGACAGTGCAGGGAGGGTTGCCATAGAGCAAAGTACTGGCAGTGGGGAGGGGGGAAGAGGTGCCAGAGAGCACAGGGCAGTAGGCATTGGGAGAGCTGCCAGAGAGAATAGCGCAGACAGTGGGGAAGATAATTCTGTGTTCCCTCCAGATTGGCTTACAGGAGAAATAAGGGGACACAGAACATTATTATATGGGGAATAGAGAGGATTGTACTAGTGAAGGGTTGGCCACTATTATATTATGCTGGGCATGATTTTCCTTATTCCTGTACAAGGTTCATGAGCCTTACCCAACCCAGAACCCTCTCTGAGGACAATACATCAGCACAATGGAAAGATTGGATCACCTTCAGTATGGAGTCTTGACTCTTCACCGTGGCCAGCACAGCTCCGTTCTCCGCACAGAATAGCTCGCTGTCATCTCTCGTCCCATTATCAGTGGAGAGGAAATAACATTTCTGATTCATCATCGTCCATCCCAGGGGACACTCACCGAACTGATCTGGGTTGTAGGACAAAAGAGAATCCATAGAAAAGAGGATGGAAGATTCCTATGAGATATATTTTACTTGGTATTATAGGTCAGCATGTTTATCACTTTTCAGAAAAGCCATCAGTCAGCAAAATGCTGTCCATCGTGTGAATTGTCTGAGATTAAATCTCCACTCTAAATAAATAAACATTTAAATATTATTATTTTCAGAAAGAAGTAATCTTTGTGTAATCTGACGAACCTTCCACTAATATGGCCGTTCTCAGACATTGCACCCTCTGATTGGCGTCTTCCAGCATCCGGGTCAGGTTCTGTTGGGTCTCCCGTCTCAGGTGATCTTCAGAATTTCTGTTTGCAGCTGAAATACACAGAAGAGCCGGGAGATTAGATGGATTCCTCTAATACTCTCCTATGGTGATGGTGAGATATCACACTGCTATGAGTAGTGACACAGGACCTCCTGGTTCTTGTGGTAGTCTTCCACCTCTCTGGTCAATCTTTCATCTGAACATCTGAGAAAGTGAACAGGATGTCACCCACAGAAGTAGAATATGAGAAGAATGGGCACTTGTGGACTTACCCAGCCATGCTGAGACACACAGCAGAATGATACAGACCAGAATGAGGAGTCCAGACGTGTATGGAGAGTTCCAGAAACGGTGACCTGGGAAGACAGAAAACAAAACTGCCAATTCAATCAGATACCTCTGGTGCCCACATCTGGACCAACTATTGGCCACATGAGGTCATTTTAGAATTAATAAACCTAATCTGGGGTTACATTATCAGCGACCCGAGGACTTTACACAATTATACATCATGGCAGAGACCATATCCCCAGGTCACGTCCCCTGTATGTGCATTGGTGGTGATTGCAGCTAGAGCACCTTTGTAGAGCTCCAGGTGTTTGATCAAATGTTGGAAATTAATTTTAAAGGCATAATTTTATATTGGACCCACAATACATGATTACACTTTTATTTAATGTTATACAACCCGGGTAAACCAATGGGCCGGTCCATCATCTACAATGAATTGTGTCCATCGTCTCACACTGTTCAGTATGGTATTATAAGGGTATAAAATGCTGTTTTTAATACTACCCATGAGAGGTGTGTCAGGAGGGTAGAGTGTGTTTTATACACAGGAGACATTTACCATAATCAACCCAAATCATCTGATCGTGAGGGATGTAAATTTGTCTTGGCTCCCAGCACACTGTTCCCACCACACCACCTACAATCCACAATGAAGACCTCAAGGCAAACTCAGTGGCATGAACTTGTGTCTGTATTGGGGAAATATACACTTTATATGGGTGACCAGATAGAGGGTGATATCTATAACAATATAGCTACATTACATACATATTCAATGAAGCAAATAATACCATGTGAAACCAATCAGTGTACAAAGTGAATGCATTCCAGTCCAGTGCTCCTCAGTATACATCCATCTGTGTGTTCTGTAAAACCATTGTGATAGTAATTAATAAATAGATAACTAATAGTTTCATTATATCAGTTGGAAAGATCAAGTAAACGACAGAGCTGCTCTGTTCAGGGTTGTAAATCTATCCCTTCAAAATTCAGATTGTTTCAAAGAAATCTTCTTCAGCTGCATTTTATTTCTCCCTCGTTGCCCTCCTGGAATGTTAAATATCCAACAGCAATGGTAAAAAACCAATATGGAGAGGTGACTGTAGCAGTTTCTTTATATAGTCTTCTAGTTCTATTACCAACAATTTTTAATAAAAATATCTCAATGGAGGAAGTTGATCTTTTGTTCTATCGAGGTGTCACATTGTCAATTAGGTGTTTTTGTCATTCTCATTAACATTATGGAGAATTCTATGTCAGGCGCTTTTCTCTCCTCCACAAATAATGAGGATGTCGTCTATAAAACTCTCGTATAACACGACTTCTCATACAATGGTTTCCAATTCCCATTTGTCCATGAATGCATTGGCCACACTTTGGGGTAAAATGTAGCCCCCATGGCCGCTCCTGTGATCTGTTTATCCAGGTTTTTATTAGACCAATATACAGATTTATGTTCTAATCCACATTTCAGAACCTCTGCAATAAATTCTTCATGTGTTTTATTGGGTTTAGTATCTAATGCTTCCTTATTATCTCTTATCCTTTATTTGAAGTGAAATGACATCCGCTGCTGCAACACACATCCAAAGACTTATTCCGGGAGGTCTGAACGTGGAATGTGATCTTATTGTTTGTTAGTAAATATTGATTGTATATATATATACAGCAGTCAGTGAGAATAAGCCAATAATACATTGAAGGTTTTATTACAATGAGATTGTTACATTATTCATTATAGATGTCATACAAAATGACACAGATCATATAGGATCGCTCCTCTGTTATGGGTCATACATGATGAGACTTTATGAATGTCAGAACCCAGGAATATGTTTAACACACAAATAGTTCATCAGCAGCTGTCAGTACATGGGCAGAACACTCCTAACTGTCTTATCTTGAACTGTTTTGTAACTGTACTGTCTCCTATGTGTATTGTAAAGAGGTGTTAGCGCTATATAAATCCCAAATAAAAATAATAATAACAAGAATTATAATACTAATAATTTCAATAGTAATGATGATCATCATCAGCAGCAGCAGCACCACCACCATCACCATCATCAGCACCACCATCATCATCATCAGCAGCAGCAGCACCACCATCATCAGCAGCAGCACCACCAGCAGCAGCACCACCATCAGCAGCAGCACCACCATCATCATCATCATCAGCAGCACCATCATCATCATCAGCAGCAGCACCACCATCATCATCTTCAGCAGCAGCACCATCATCATCACCACCACCATCATCATCACTGAATCTATGTGGTACACATTTCATCTTTCCCTACATGCCCCCTACCTGTCTACCAATGCTATTATCTGTGTATTGTTTCATTGATTTTGTGTTTATTGTTCCCTTTTTTCTTGCGCATGTTTTTAATGTAAAAAATAGTTGTAATCAATAATTTATAAAAATTATAATAATAACAATAATAGTTGTGAATATTTCTATGACATTGGTGTTTACTTGCACACATTGGATATGATTCTAAAGCCAATGCAACTATATTTCCATTTATATTCCTTAATATGACATAAACAGGTCTGTGACCTGAGCCGGGACAAAGGTGTCAGCGAGCTAAAGCCGGCCGTACACTGGCTGAATTCAATAGAAAATTTCATATGAAAAATCTGGTCAGAACTTTGGATAACGGCCTCAGAGACGTGACCAATGCCGCTGGAATTTTTTATTTGAATTTAGCATTGGATTTGGGAAATGAAAGGAGCTTCTCAAACAATTCACATTCATTGTTAGAATTTTGTTTGTTTCAGAAAATGTTTTAGAAAGTCAAACAAATGTTTTGAGGGAAATCTCTTCTGGTGAATGGCCAGATTAAGACCCGGCTTGTTTTTACCTGAAGAACGTTTCATTAAACCATTTTAGTGGCATAAACCCATTACCTTTATCTCAGGATTTCTATTTTAATTTATAATTGTATTGGATATATTATCAATGACGGAGGCTGGTGACTCAGGAAAAATATAACTGAAAGTAATAAAAATTGAATCAATTTGACAAATTGAAGGCTGATTTTAGGAACGTACCTGCAGGTTTTGGGGTCTCAGTTTTTGCCCCTCTGGGTGGATCTGAGCAACAGAGATTCAGTTTGGCATAGACGATCTCCTCAGCCATCGCTCTGCGTCTTTGTTCTATGAGACGGAGGAGAATGATGTCCTCTCTTTTTATGTTTGGTGGCCTCACATCAGACGTGGGACCAGACAGGACATTCAGCCCTTTGTGGACAGAACAAGAGAAAAAACACCGCCACAGTTCAAAGCAACTTCTTCTTGTAGATGAGAAACCAACAAATTACGTTGTGTGGCCGGCGACCTCCCACCGTCTCTAAATATATCAACATGTGTTGGACGTGGTTTGTGTTTATAGTATCTCAATACATTTCTATATCCATCTACGTTTTTAGCTCCACATGTTTCTATACACGATACAAGTTTGTACTAATTATAGATTTAAAAAAATGTTTGTAACAAAAAGTAAATGATTTCAAATCACATTTTTTGTCCTTTTTGTACTGCAACATGTAAAACATAAATACATTTCTAGCCCCATCACCTTCTGTGATGTGGCTACTAGACATTTTGTGATAGCCGGGGCTGTAGACAGCCTGGCTGGAATTATAGTGGCAATTAAAAAGTGTCTGGCATTGCCTGTACCCTCCTGGGCGGAGTGTGACTCTATCATATTGTGGGACAGCCAATGAGAGGCACTGTAGTGTATGTACAGTACAGCAGCCAATCACTGGGTTTTTCTCAGCCACTGGTGCATGCTGAGATAGGGTACATATACTGGTGGGATTTGCTATGTACTCAGATTAGCCGGGACCAGCCATGGAATAGGATGGGTCCTGTTCGGCCTGCCCCCCAGGCTAGGCCTGGGGGTGGGCATGGGCTGGTGTGAGGGAAAAGGTCTCCCTGAGGTCTCCAACATGGAGGAGGCCTGTGATGCTGATAGAGAAAGAGAACCGGGACTAAGCTCTTGAAGTACCCTGGAACTAAGTGGACTTCAGGAGCGTGGCCGGTGTCTTTCCTGCATGAGGATCTGTATCCATCCTGCCTATCTGCTACATTGTTGGCCATCCGCTGTCTCACAAGTGGATCTACACTGATATTTCTACAAAGTCTGGTGAGTCTGGAGCTCCTGTTGGTTACCCCTGGATGTTTAGAATCCCTATACCCTCTCTTCCCAGTGAAGATCTTTAATAAAAGGTTATTCAGCATTTTACTACTGAAGTGGACATCAGTCTGTGGGCACCAGAAGAAGGGCGGTTAGTTATAATGGGTGGGCAGCTGAAGATCATACCCCTAGGCAGACTAGAAATGAACCGGGAAATCAGCAGCTCCTTCTGGGGTGAGCACTACACATTACAATACATAAATCAAGAAATTAAACTATCTAACTAAAAAATAGATACATAAAAACATACATACATACTATACATACTATATTAAACAAAATAATAAATTAAAAAAAAATACAATAAATTAATTTAAAAAAAAAGCAATACAATAGAAATATTTCAAAACTATTAAGTTCCTTTAAAAAAAAAAAGTTAGATAATTCTTGTGATACAACACATAGTCTGAGCAGACTTTGTACTATAAATCAGAGAGGTCCACCATGTCAGAGTGACATGCAAAATCTGTGATCTTGGCTATGAGAGTTTTTGAATGTTGCTGCTTTATTAATAAGGGAGATTAAGAAGGAATTAGGTTTCCCCTTTACAAAGTGTCAGGATCATCCCTCCAACGCACAGTCATCAAACAGTCATGATGTTCTCATGATCCCACCAGGGTGATCTGGCTATGAGTGGGATATAAAGGGAAGGTTCTCGGGCAGGACGAGGTGATGATCAGGAGAAGGAATCTTCTGTAGATGATTATGAGACATTAACAGAGCAAATCAAAATCCTGACTACAAATCTACACAAAGTCTTCATTATGGAGGGTCATTGATAGTGTAGGACATTCGAGGAGAGAAGTCT